AACTATGCAAAAACAAAGCTTCATTTTATCTGAGCCAATGGGACCTTTCTGTCTTTTGGAAACTTTCAGCTTTAATTCACCCAACAAGTCCGAACTACATTTACTTGACTTGAACCCAGTGAGATGGAAAAACACCTGAAATCAAATGTCAGAAAGACTCTGCAAAACTGTATCTCAAGACCTTTAATTGTATTTTAAAACATCTGACTTGATTCTGCAACATCTGGAAAGGTCTTTTAATGTAAACACGCGTCCCAGGCAAGAGCCAGATCCCGAATTGAGCATCTTCTGATAAAAATCAAGCACGCCCGGAGAAAACCGGTGTAAACAGCTAAGTGGAGCACGAAGTGAGGAGAGACAGCCAGACGAGAGGCACTGTCAGTGAACAGGATTGCCGGGAATCTGTCCCCTGCCATTTGCTGGATCTTGTTCAAAGTGGGGCTTCAGAAAGACTATTAGAAACAATTATGAGAAGAATATAAAATGTGGTTTCCCAAGTGGCTGTTAGCAACGCTGTCATGTCAACATGACATTGAACATGTGTTCCCTTACTGAGAAATTTATTTACATATTCTCGATTCTTGCTGGCTCCTTGAAAATTCTTTGCACTCCGCAGGGCTAAAATAAACAGCGCTTCCTTCTTTTAATGAGTGGAGTGGTGTTTATCATTTCAACAATTTAAAATGTTATCAATGATCCTTCAAACACTGGATTCATGATAACAACCAATGTGCGGTTTACAGAGCAGGCTCCCACACAGCTGATTCCCTCCTCCCAACAAGCCGCTAAGTGTGTCATTATTATCCCCATTTTACAGGAGAGAAGACTGAATCTCACTTGCCCCTGAGACTGTTTCTTCCTACTACATTCCCTATTTCCACTCCCACCATCACTCCCCCAAGTGAATCAGGACTCACCACCCTGAGGACGGTGAGCGTGGCCCATGAGCGATGCTAATTCTGTGCTATAATTAGAATAGTCTGTCTCTTAGTCTTTAACGTTGTATGATGTTTTGAGCTTTTAAACCACAATTTGCTAAAATTAAACACAGGCTTTAATTAATACACCACCTCCTACCCTGTTCACTCTGCCAAGTGATGGAAAGCTGTGGACTTTGTCATTATTACTTTTTATTACCCACAAATTGCATAAAACCTGGCTTTCTTCATCAGAGACGCCTTTCTTAATCTTAATCTTTCTTAATAAATTAATCTTTGACCAAGTTTCCTGGCTTGCAGCATCTCCCAAAGGAAAGGTGACTTTTCTCTGTGAGGTCACCATGACCATCCCAGTCCTGCATGCGGGTTTGGTTGCCCATGGACTAGATTCCCATCTGAATTTGTCAGGATGTCCGGCAACAGAATAAATTAAAAGCCCTCGAGGAGGTGACTGCAGCCCCGTCTTCTAAGTCTGTTCTGTCCAGCTCCTTTCCGTCTTTTTCTGGTGATGATGTCACTTCCTTCCACCCACCTTTGACTTCTGCAGCTCATCCTGCCTGACCGCAGACTTGCCTCAGCTGACAGCCTGTTCAAGAGCAGCCCGCACATCCTTTTGCTTCTGCCCACAACTTCTCCTGCACCACAGGAGGCAGCTTGGCCTGAGAACAAGGATAGTCCAGAAGTGCAGCGGAGTTCATGTCCCCAGGGGCACATTCAAGAATGGGTGCCTGAGGCCGGTTCATACAGGCTTTGGTCCCTGATCTCAGCTGGCAATTCTCGTGCTACTCAAGTGGCACCAAGCTCTGCTCATCCATGGAAGAGATCTCTATAACTCGTCTCTTTTGGGTTCCCTCTTTCCCTGTCTCTTTGTCCTTGCTTCTGCCAGCCACCTGTCACATCAAATGCCTGAACACAAGTCCTGGCTTCAGGCTCTGCCCCTTGGAATAAGCATTTATGTGGGTGGGGGATATTCCCCTCCACTTGAAGCAAAACCTTTGGAAAGTGTGGGGTCCACAGTCATCTCTGGCAGAAGCTGCAGGCACCATTGAAAAGGTCACTAGTGTTTCCATCACCTGTTAGTGAACGCTCATCAGTATTTCTCTTCAACACTGGTCACTTTCCAAAAGGCTTAAAGGTGGAATTTTATCCTGGCCTTTAGAATAAGCTTTGGTGAGAGGTGCCAAGCCCAGTGCCACCTTAAAGGACTTGTCAAGCCATGTACCAGGTGAGTACCACTGAGTTACCTCTTCCTGATAGGCAGCTGCAGCATTGCGTGGACTCAGATGTTAACGTTCCCCAAGGTCCTAGAAACCCCAGCCTAATAATCTCCTTTTACCAATCAAACTGGAGTGAGTCGTTTTGGAGACAGCACAGCTGGTGCGTGGGAAAGCAGAGTGTAGCCAGCCAGTTCCCTCAGACTTTCCCCTGCCCTAAGTAAAAGTGAGAAGACAAGGCCCTTCCAAGTCATTCCAGTCTTTGGGCCTTGTTCTCATTATCCTCTCCTCCTGGAAAAAACATTCTCCCTGACTTCTTGTCTTAAGGGCTCAGCTTAGATGTCCTCTGTTCAGAGGCCTTTCCTCACTGAGGCAGTCGCATGGTTCACCTGTCCAGTCACTAGGACACATCGTCCTCTTACTGTTTTTCTGGCACTTGTCACTACCTGATATCACTGTATTGATTTCTTTACATGTTTATTGTGCATCCACCCTCCACTATGATCTTGCCTGTCTCATTCTCTGCTTTCTTCCCAGGCCCTGAATATCGTCCTTATTCAACAAACAAAAAAAAATAGAAGAAATGCCAGCTCTATCATGAACCTCACTTGCCCCTGGTGTAAGAGCCTGGCTGTTAGGCCATTGGAGAAGAATCCAGCTTTCTGGCTAGTTGAACCCTTCTGGGTTTGGGGCACAGCGTAAGACTCCAGGAGTGATGAGTCAGGCCTGTGAGCTGCTCTTCCGGGGACACAGTCTATTCCCTGGTGTGCTCCACCCTGAGCTTGGGGAGGGGCTGCAGAACCCACCGCTGTCATAGGACGCACAAGAAGATGGAGAAGAGAAATAAAAGAATCAAAATTTTCTTCATCTTCTGTGGGACACTTATAGTTCAGCTATGTTGAGTGGAGTGAGACTGAGGCCCTGAAGGAAAGAGATTTGAAAAGAATGCTTATTCCTGGCTCATTCCAGGGACACGGAAAAGGAGTTTGGTGGCCACACGTGGTTCAGATGAGCTTAGCAGAAGAGGGGACCAGATGAAGATGCAAGGAAACCACTCCAGCCAGGGATAGCAGCTGTGCATTGCAGCCCATGGTCTTGTGGAGACTGGGTAAGAATGTGATCCAGTGAACAGGAGATGAGGAGACCACAACATACAGAGCAGGGGCCGCCGTGCTTCCATAGCGATCATTCCAGGTGTTTCTCACCTGAGGGCACCTGTATTACTTGGCCTCTATTTCCTGACATCTCTTGCACTTCACGGCTGTGGAGGCCAAACTCAAACCTGCATACTTGCTTAAAAGCAGGGCTGGTTTGTAATAGAAACCCTGTAGTTTCCTCTCCGTGTATAAATTGGAGCCGAGTAGATTGATTTAATAATCACGACCCCAACATTTAGACTGAGTGATCTCAACACGCAGTTGTAAAATTTCAGAGCAAGAAACAGCAGTTTTCACTTGAACAAATAAACTTCAGTGGAGTTGTCCTTAGTCTTGCTTATGTTCCAGTAGTCCTAATTATTCTGTGAGTTCTGACTGGTAGACCAAAAAATTATGAAGGTATCTAATAATTGGTTTTTTTAAGGAACTATAGGAGGACAGGACAGATGCAAAGGGTCAAGTGGCCAGACAAGAAGGGAGGGTCTCCCACAGCCCTTGACTTTGTCCACAGAATGAAGAAAAGTCAACTGGAATAAGACACAGTGAGAATGGGTATTTCATGAATAATTACTACAGACTCTGGTCTCTCTGAGAGTTACTGATCGACTCCTCCTTTTTCTCCCCTATACCTCTTTTCTCCTTCCCTTCTGCCATTTACTATTGGATTCTTATTTGTTAAGCACACATTAGGATGAATAAAATATGGTCAGTATCCTTAAATACTCTTACACTGTATGGGGCAGGTAGACGTGTAAATAGGTAATACAAATAATGACTCCCTCTTGGAAATGACCAGACAAACAATCACACAACAAGGGCTAATGACCAGTAGGTAATAGTATAAACTATTAATTAAGATCTGCTTTGGATACGTGTATAAGGGACTGTGGCTTCATACATTGAACTTTGGGCAATCTCAAGTGTTTGCATCTTTAGTATCATAGTCTACAATGGTCCATATATGAATATAGGGTAAAAATGGGGACTACCCAAGCTTCCCGGCAGAGCTATTATGCAGGAAGGAATTATTTTCACAGGGGCAAAAGGCTCCTGGCCCCACCCAAAATATTGCTCTAGCTGACTGCTTATTAATGTTCTCAGTTAAGACTCTTTATAATGAGAAGTTTTCATAAATGCATAAAGTGAAGCAATATAGCATTTTATGGTATCATCTAGTTACAGATCTACTGAAAACAACGTTAGTACAATTTGTCCTCGACTCAGCTTAAGTGACTAATCCAGACACCATGTCATAGCTCCCCCAGCACCAGAGGAATGGTGGACAGGAAACTTTCTACACAGCCATAACCTAAGTAAATGCAGCCTTTAATAGGTATAATATTAAACCATAAGAATCTTGATTTTATACTTTATTGCCCATAATAATATTAGAATTAGCTCTGGAACAGGAATCTTCCAACTCTGTTAATTATCTAGCCTCATGGCCTTGGGCAAGTCACAAAGCTCTTGAAGGCTGGCAGTCCTCACCTATAAAAATGAAGACCATTCGGCCTGACGAATCCAAGGTCCGATGTACCTGTAACCCTGCAGAGTAGCCAACACTCACTGAGTTCTTAGAAGGACCAAAAACATTTTCTTGACTCTCGGACTCGTTATCCAGGTTTTTTGCCTCATGTATTTCCAAACTGTAGTTTGTTTTTATTGACGTTCAAATGAACTCGACCACTTACCGAATAAATTTTCAGAAAAAGAAAATTCATCCATGGTAGGGAAATGGGAGTGTTCGATGAGATTCATTTTTGAGCCCATCCAAATTTTTCGATTTGCGAATATATTTTTGTTATGGTGGTCTTCAAAAGAAATCCCTAAAAGGCAAATAAATAAGGTTTGTAATTGCAGGAATGGGGGGGGGTCAAGATAGGTGGGGAAGGGGAGAAGAAGATAGTTTACAAAAGTGCAATGGCTGCCCTTGTAGACATTTTGCCATAGCCTTTCTGTATGTATCTTTTCTCAATATTTATCATTTTTCTATCTCATTCAGATTTTAAAATGTCCAAGATGCCTGCTTTCAGGGGGATATTCTCTAATTCAGGGATCCTCAAACTTTTTAACCAGGGGGTCAGTTCACTGTCCCTCAGACCATTGGAGGGCCGGACTACAGTCCCCAGGACGAGTCAGCTGCTAAGCAGGACGGGCAGCGGTGGCAAAAACACCCGGCAGGCCGGATAAATGTCCTAGGCAGGCCACACACGGCCCAGAGGCCATAGTTTGAGGATGCCTGCATCTGGGGAAATATTGTATTCCTTTGAATGCCACCACTTCAAATGTGTACACCATGGAATACTATGCAGGCATTAAGAAAGATGGAGACTTTACCTCCTTCATGTTTACATGGATAGAGCTGGAAAATATTCTTCTTAGCAAAGTATCCCAAGAATGGAAGAAAAACTATCCAATGTACTCAGCCCTACTATGAAACTAATTTATAGCTTTCATAGGAAAACTATAACCCAATTTTAGCCCAGGAATATGGGGAAAGGGGAGGGAAGCGGGGACAGTGGGTGGAGGGAGGGTGATTGGTGGGATCAGGCCTATGGTTCATCCTATAAGGGTACATGTGAATCTCTCTAATTGTAGAATATAAATGTCTTAACACAATAACTAAGAAAAAGACATGAAGGCTATGTTAACCAGTTGGATGAAAGTATTTCAAATTGTATACAGAAACAGTACACTGTACTCCATGATAGTATTAATGTACACTGCTATGATTTAATAATAAAAAAAAAGATATGACAGTTTGGTTAGGTCTTTATTCCTTTTATATGTAACCCCCTCACATGCACATATGCAAATAAAAGCCTTGATTAAAAATGAAATAAATTCTACTTATTAAATGAGTAGTAGCTCCAAAAGCTTGAGCATAATCAAGATCTAATTTTTTTTTCCTCGAACACTTCATAGGTGTGGTTATGTTTTTCCTTCAAAGGGAACACACTATTATTTCTTTTTGTGCTATAATCATTGATGATCGTAGCTCTAATAATTCATCAGGATTCACATAATGATATCTTTATTTTTACCATTTTTTCCCTCTGTTACCTAGAATTCCTTTATAAAAAGAAATGAAGCTCTACCAATATTCGGATAACCAGTAATACAAATTTAATAAGAAAGACAAAATGATTTCTTTCTTTTAAAAATGGGATGAATTCATGATTCATTATCCTAAACTTTATTCTATAAACACATGATAGTAATTTAAAGCCACTTCTTGCTGGAATTTTCTTGACTATTTTGGTGTTATGTCAGCAGATTAAAATTCAGAACATATCCCCCCAAGATCTTTTATTTCTGCCTTTTAGGGAAAATTTTAGGGGTATGCATTTTCACTCTCCTGGTCTACCTTGGTCATAAAGAATTTATAACAAAAAGAAAACTAATGGCAAATCTCACCAAAATTTCTGAAGTTTTATCCTGAGGAAATTTCCAGAATACATCTAAGAACCCAAGAAAAGCAGTATTTACTTTGAGCTATATCTCTGGGTCTTCTTTCTTCCCTTCCTTCCTCCCTTCCTTCTTTCCTTCCAAGATGACTTCTACCTCCCTAAAGAAATAATTTGACAGGTTAACGAATGAAAAGGTGTGCTTCAGAACCTCTTTTCCCAGGCTATTTTCTGAGGATGTTTTTCAAACTTTTTTTTTTTCCTGCCTTCACCAAGAAATTACTTTGTTTACAAATAAATAACTTAGTATTTGCTACTCGGGAAGAGAGTATAATGGTTTTGTTGGACAAATATTTATTTCATTAGAAGGTCCCCACTATTCATGCCTCCATTTCTTTCTCACTCCCTTGCCAAATATCCCAGTTCAAACCCAAGTGAGTTTCAGATACAGTAGGCTGCTGGTGAAGGGGTCCACCAGAATCCTGTCTGCTTCATTCACTCATTCATTCAGGCTTTCCACTAATACGTGTTGAGAATGTATTCTGCACTGATCCTTGTGCTGAATCTTTCAAGATAAAATATTAAAAGAAACAAAAGAATTTATAATTCATGACATCAGTCTTAATGAGGACTATAGACATTAAACAAATAATCACACAAATGGCTAGTTGATTACATATTGTCATTAAAGGCATGTATAAAAGCTAAGAATAGGATGCTCTGAAAGAGAAGTCTGTGTATGCAGATAGGAAGTCAAGAGACAGGGAAGTGGCCAGCTCTTGACTACTGAAGTGGTAGTAGCCTCTCTAAGGGAAGATGTGGTTTCAAGAGCAATTTTTAAAGATGGGCAATACCAGAACACAAATGAATTGAAGAGAAAACACCAGGGGAGTGGGGGTGGTTGTAGAGGAAGAATGAGAGAGAGAGAGTCTTCTGGGAAGGGATATAAACTGTGTCCACTGTGGAGACTAGACATACCAGAGTCTGTCTGGTAAATCAATGGCATAGCCCTACTCAGCTCTACTATCCATTAAGAGGAGAGGCTTGAATGGAGAAAACCCATTTTAAAGTCAGAGGGAGCTAGGAACCACCACATTCATCACAAAACATAGTCTCAGTTGTGAGAGAAATGTTGATTCTCAGTGGAGCCGTGTTGGGCCAACCCATAGTAGACTCAGGAGGCGAGAAGGGAGGAGCTATAAATAAAAATGAAGTCTGGAAACACTGGCTGCAACATAGACCAACTTCTAATGCAACAAGTAGGAGATAGAGAGCTCATTTCAGCCCTATCCTCACCCTCACCCTCATGTTCAAATGACTGCCACATATCACAGTGGAATTGAACCTAAGAGGGCTCAGTGCCTTTCTGGGAGCAATTGTGAAACAGTATCCCAGATGCTGCCATAACCCCTATAGAAGGAGGCTCTGATAGGAAGCTGGAGGTCCTGAGGATAAACCAGTAAAAGTTGAGTTGCTACTATTAAGAGGGCTTCATTCATACTCGCAGGCTAGTTGGACACTAGTGAAATTCAAGTTTCAATATATATATACCAATCATTTAAGAACATATTCAGTATGCATATACAAATATATATGAACCATATATACTAAATGTGCATACAAATAAATGTCTGTATAGTGTGTAATAAGTGAGTTGAAAATCACCCCCCAAATTCAGGCAACTTTTGTTTAAGATAGTGCTTCCCCTATCTCCGGAATAGGAAATTTCACAATTTCTCATAATAATACCTCCCTGGAACCTACAATGTCAACAGTCAGAAATTTTTCCTAATATTCAACCCAAACTTAAACTCTGTAACTTAAGACTCATTTCCTTTAGTCTTAAAAAAGAAAAAGGGAAATTATAGAAGCTGGGCATGATGATACATACCAATGGTCCCAGCCACTTGGGAGCTGAGACAGGAGGATCGCTTGAGCCCAGGAGTTTGAGACTGCAGTGCGCTATGATTGCACTTGTGAATGGCCACTGCACTCCAGCCTGGACAACGTGGCAAGACCCTGTCTTGACAACAACAATTTAAAAAAAGAGAGATTACAGGGGCGGCGCCTATGGCTCAAAGGAGTAGGGCGCTGGCCCCATTTGCCAGAGGTGGTGGGTTCAAACCCAGCCCTGGCCAAAAAAAAAAAGGAGATTACAGTTCTGTGACAGAGTTTAAGTCTCCTCTGTGCTCTCTTTTTCTCACATCTGTATTTTTTTAACCTTGAGCCATGTTCATTATAATTCCTCATAACTTCCGTAGCACATTACAGCTTTCTAATATTTTCCAGGTACACACTCATCTTCACTTGAGATTCTGGTAATAAATTTCCCTCTATATATTCACACAAACTTGGCACTTTCAAATTCAGTGCCTGGCACATAATAGACCCTCAAGAAATGTTGGCTTAATTAAATTATCTTGTTTTTCTTGCTTAGTTCTGCCAAATTCCCTGACATTAGATGTGCTCTTCCTGGAGAAACAGCATAAAATAAGAATTTCATTCTCCTGTTGGCACAAAGATTTAAGACATAATTTTTCACTTGCTTACCCAAATGGAAGTCCATTTCCCCTAATTCTATATCATTTATAAAGGTTGTTAACCCTGGCTGAAGACCTACCACATGGATGCCCCTGGTTAACTAACAACAGAGCTCTCTAGAATTCAGATAGCTAGCAGGGTCTACTCAAATCAGATTCATTCGTTTTATAATCCTTAAGGATCTTTACAAAAGGAAACTTTAATTTTTGAAATGATAACACAGATATGTAGTAAGCAATTCCAACAGCACACTGAGTTATAAGTCTTAACAGCTCCATCACCCACTCCCCTTACTGAAACACAACTACAAGGGCCAAGTTCCTGTGCATCCTTTTGCATACTATGCTCTTTTTTTAGCCTGAAAGGGGCTTTCAAACCCTATATCTAAAATCAGATTTTGGCAAACTTGCCTACAGGCCAAAGTTGGCCTGCTGCCTGTTTTTAATATAGCCTATACGTTTAGAATGGTTTTACATTTTTCCAATGCTTGAAAAATAATCAAAAGAAGAGTATTTCATGACACGTGAAAATTAAAGTTCAATAATAAAGTTTTATTGGCATACAGCCACACCCATCTTTTATGGACCGTCTGTGGCTGTTTCCTCCCTCCAAGGGCAGAGTGGAGTGGTTATGACACTAGACTGCACGCTCCACAAAGCCAGAAGTATTTACTATCTAGCCCTTTGCAGAAAAAGCATGGTGTTAATCCCTGCTTGAAACAAATAATGGAAGGGATTCAAACAATCAAAGTAATAGTACAGGTGACTATGAATAATCCAGTGATTACTGTGGGAAGAAGCCCACCTAATACATGCATCTCATAAAGCTGGATCTTTACCTTTTAATAGCTCCTTGCTGGGCTTAGTCAACTTGCAAAG